GTTTCATGCAGAGCAATTGTATTTAATCTTTTAAATTTTCTCTATATATATTTAGTCTCATTGTCTTCCCGGACACGTAAGCATCATTTCAAGGCCAGCAGCAGCTAAAATGGCAGGTAAATCACTTTTGGAATGGTTTTTTAGAGCAGTTATCAGTGTCAGTCCTGCCAGGCTGTCTTTATCAATAACACTGTTTGATGTGGAGGGGAGGGAGTGGGGGGGTGGGGGGGTGCAGGGTTTTCCCTATAGCTGTCAGTTTCCAGCTCAAGAGCAGAGAAGCTGCTGAGGATCTGTCAGAGGCAGAGCTGCTGGTTATCTGTTTTCCTGTGCCGAGGTTAGAGCTCGGCGTCGCTGCTGTCCCTGCGGGAGAACGTCACCGAGGAACACAGAGGAGGAAAATCTGCAGAAGTGGAAATCTTTTTTGTAGTTGTTTTTCTATATCTTGTTTGTCTTGTGATTATTTGTGAAAGCCTGTGTTTTAAATGTTTGTTGCTCACCTTGAGCTCCAATCTTGAAGTCATGAACACAGATTTGGGGGACCTTTAAAGAATCACCTCCTTCATGTCTTTCGTTTATTTATTTTTTTTACAATCAGAGTATTCGTACAAAGAATACATATTATTAGTTTATGAAACATGACTTGTGTAAAACACTGTTCAGGTTAAAGCAGGCTCACTATTTTGCAAGAGCACACACCATAAACAGTTGCTTAATTTGAAATTAGATTTTTGTGCTACAAAAACTTTTACAAATACTTAACTTACTGACAAATCTTTCATAATTAAAATCTAAACGATAAAGAATTGTAACAATAATGCAAACAAAAAGTAAATGCTCACTTTTTGGCAAGAAAAAACTGAGTATTACCCTTTTTATCAAATGCACTRTATCTGCTTGGTTTACAAATAATAACTGCATTATTAGCTATTTATTAATGGGAAAGTTTTTYGTAAAGTAGTGCAGTCAGTGAGTCGTGCTTTGATGATAGCAGTGAGTTAAAGTTAAGGTTTTATTTTGCATTTTGCATTTCCCTCCACTTTATATTTGCAAAGAGTTGCCAGTATTTCAAAACACTGTAACTTTGCTCTATTTGTCAAAACGCTAATTAAACAGCTTTTGCACAACGCTTAGAAATCATGTGATGGAAGGTTTTCTTTATTTGGTTTGAAGAAATTTATTTTGCTTTCGAGCAATCCTCCCCGAGTGTTTTCCTTGTTTGTCTTATTGTAAATTCATCCAATTAATTTCCATTTCACTCCCATGGAATCCTCGCTGCCTTTAACCAGCCGTGCTTATCAGTCTTATTGTCACGAGCCATGAATCAAAAAGCAATTACTTCATATCTTGCTTTGCATTTTTGCGCTTTTATTGCTGCGGTTTAATCCCTCATCTGGTTGACAAAATGGGACATCATCACGATCGCCATCGTCCTAACAACTTTACCAAGAAAATTATATTAACACGCTCGCCCCTCGATATTAAAAGTAAAGCACAATCTCATTTCTTTTTCCTTTTTTTTTAAATCCAAATGATGGCATTAGGCACACATGCATTTATCAGCAGACAGTACAGAAGTGAGGTTATAAACGATGCCATTCATTGTCTGGCCCAGATGCAGCGATTGTTGATTAAAGGGCTTTGAATGTAACACACACGCACACACACACACACACACACACACACACACACACACACAGATGGGTGGACATTAGGAAAAGAGGAGAGGCCATCTGAATAGGCTGGAGGGACATTAACGGCAACAATGATTGATATTTGCCGCGCAGGCTTTTTAATGGTATTGTTATTCCTCAGAGTTATACCCCGTCCTCCCCACATCTCGTCTCGCAGATAAATGGAGGTGTAATAATGAATAGAAATTATCCTGATTATTTTGGGTGGAGGTGTGGGAGAGCGAGCGAGGCGTGAATCATAATCCAACTCGAACCTTAACGCTTAGTCAACAACATCTCCTGGAATTTTTTATTTATTTCATTTTTTTCTTTTTTTTTTTTATTCCTGAGGGCTCCTGCAAATGAAAAATAGGACGATTATTTGTGTTCGGTTCGAAATTTCCGCAAATCGCTTCACCGTGAAAAGCAAAACACAATTTGTAAAAGCCAAGAAGTGGATGAAGTGGAATCGAACATTCTGTTTTATATTCGTCTAAAGTTTTGTAAAGTATGCGGCATCTTCTACTTTAATGGAAAAATTAATTAAAAAAAGGCCTTTTTCAGAATAAAAACTAAATTGAAACTATGCTTCTGAGTAATCTTAATTACCTTTGTCATCCTCAGAGCCTGCTGAGTGTTGATTGTGTGAACAGCTGAAGTGGACATCGCCAAAAACACATCATTTGATGTGAGGGGCCAGATTGTCCAAAGCAGTTGTGTTTATTGCCCTCTCTCCCTCTCCTCTGGCACCTGCTGCAGCGCCGTCGGCCTGCCAGGACACACATGCAAACACACTCACCGTCTCCTCAGCTCTCCTCTCCGTTTAGCCTCTTTCCACACAAATGCTGGTCATTATCACTTCTCAATTACATTCGCAGGCCTCAGCTGCTGGTTCACTGGTGGCCTGCGCCGCATTGGTGTTTGTGAAACCTAAAAAAGAAAAAAAAATGCATGCAGTCACTCTGAGCGTAACAGAAAACACCAGGAGAAGTAAAACAAATACATCTATATAACTGAAATAAGTCATCATTTAGTGCACATGTATGATTAACTTGTGGATTCAGCCTGATTACATATGAGCACCACCACGTCCAACTGAGCTTTGGAAAAAACACATAAATGACGATAATAACTCAGTTAGTTTTATAGATTTAAAACTAAAATTTTGTATGATTTTAAAGCTGTGAATGAGCTACAACACATATTTTGAGCGCTAGCATATTGCACAAGGTCTTTGTTGAAAATTTTACAATAAACTGAAGTCAACTCTATTTGTCTGTTGGCAAATATCTAAGGAACTACAAGACTTTCATAATTTATATATTGGGTGTCAATTTACAACTGATTACCACTTGAAGTCGATTCAATTCATGACACCCGAAACAACCAACTGAGCTTAAAATACTAAAATGGCTACAATTCAGATCATTTTGCAGATATTAAGCTAAAATTTGGTGTGGTAGTAGCTGAGCGTCATTCACAACACATACTCTAAGTGCTACTCATTAAGCAATATTTTTGCATAAAACTTAAGCATTAACTTTTGGAGTCAACTCAATCTGTCTGTTTGCAAAATATCTAATGAACCACCAGACAGATTTTGATGAAACTTTCAGGAATTAGTCACTGAATATACAGTTACAACTGATTACCATTTGAAGGGGATTCAATTCAAGATGGCTGACACAGTCAACTGAGCTCCAAAACACTAAAGTAGCTACAATTTAGCTCATGTTACAAATATTGATCTAGAATTTGGTTTGGTAGTAGCTAAGAGTCATTCACAACATTTACTTCAAGTCCTACACAGTCAGCAACATCTTTGCTTAAAATTTACCTGTTGGACTTAACCCTGTTTTCTTTAGCACAAGGTCTTATGAACAACTGCACATATTTTAAGGAAACTTTTCAGATAGTTTGTCATGTTTTCTAACTATCTCATTTCTATACAGTAAATAAACTTTTTTTGCACATTTAACTCAATAGTTTTTTGTGCTTGCTCTTTGTTGAACAAGAAATAAAAGCATCTCTCCATTAAAGCACTGTCCTCAAAACCATAAAGAACATTTTGTCTTTAACTTTGTTACTGCTTTATTTTTATTTATTTATCTTTTTTTTACAAGCACCATGAAAAAAACTCTCATGCTCCTCATTTCTGTTTATACCTTTTGTTGTCTCCCTTCTCCATCTCATCCGTACCAACATGTTGTGCACCGTCCACTCCCTTCCTCTCATCGCTTACTCCCCTCTCCTGCGGTGAAATGTTGCCATGCCTTCCTCCAACATCCCCCCCACCCCTTCCTCCGCTCGCGCCACCCTTCTTCCACTCACTCAGTAATCAGGGCCAGATGGAGGCAGAGATGGTGTGATGCAGGGAGGGAGGATTGGGTTTGGTCCCAGCAGTGTCTCAGAAACGTGGGGAGCTGTCAGCCCTGCAAGGAGAGAAGAATTCTCGAGCAATAAAACAGGGATTTATCACCACTCTACCACCGAGAGAGAAAGGAGAGGTATAGGGAAGAGGGTGTGAGGTGGAGTAACGGATGGAAAAAAAAATATCACCAAAGTCAGATAATGAAGGGTGACGTGGACGAGGAATGAACAGAGAGCTGTAGAAAGAGAAGTGGAAAGCAAAAGGAAACACAACTCCTCATCATTAAAACGTGTCAGATGGATGAAAGGGGTTGAAGAAAGAAACACCCAGAATGATGCGGCTGGAAAAAAAAGCCCCTGATGGAAAAAAAAAAAGACAAGAGGGGAGTAAAAATTGCAGAAGACAGTTGCACGATGACACCCACAGCTCATCTGCTCAGTTTGCAGCAGCCTGACAAATTCTCTCCTGCCATCTGCACARTCCAGGGGCGATGAGCGTCTGTCCAGAATCTAATGCTTTCAAAGGATGTGATGTCAAGAAAAAAGAAAAAAAAAAGAGTCAACCTCCCCACTGGGCCAAATGAACCTGCTAAAATAACCGCTCTCCACAATCGGCTGTGTAATTGAAACCAGAATGTGCAGGATTTGATAAATTGCTTGACCCTGCAGGAATGTTAAGGTCATAAATTTTTAGTGCATTTCGGTGGTGCTGAGATGTGCAGAGGTCTATGTTAAGAACGGCGATGTGTGCCTGAAAATCACCCAAATGAAACCGATGTGTTTTATTAATTCAAAGCCCGGGTGAAGACAAAACAACTGTGATTGTGCACTGACCGACCACAGACCCACAAAAATCCCGACAACGACACCAGCTCACAGCAGACAACCTATAAAATCTGCTTTTTGTATTTTATCTTAAAGCAGTAAACATTAATTGTCGAGATAAAAGCATATAGTTGCATCATAAAACTCACTGTACACTTGACGTGAAAATATATGATCTTGTTTATGTCTAATTCAAACCTAAGAGGACACAAAAACACTATATAAGGACAACATCAAATTATCTAACATTTTTAAATAAAATGTTACTGTTTTCAAGGCTTCAAAAACTCTTTCTCAAATACGTACATGACCTGCCTTTTTTGAGGCAAAATGTTTGTTACATTTGTACATAATTAATGCTGTATAATTCTGTTTTTTGGGGAAAAAAATAAAAAACTTGCTGCTTTGACTCAGTGTTATATTCGTCTTGTTATAAATTGTACAATGTATTTATACTTACTGAAGCAGGTGTTTTTATTTAATATATATCTTGGTTGCCCAAATTATTAATCGATGCTTCTCAACTCCCCAAACGTCACATTTTATAGGTTCACACCTGCTCATGGTCACTTAATCAAGAGCATTTAATTAGCAGCACCTGGTGCCTATTGTTTTCAGAGAAAATATTAAAAGTGCACTTAAATTCTAACATATTGTTTCTGCATTTGTATTTGTATTTTTGTTTTTCTTCACCAAGGGTTTTATTTTCTTAAATGTATGATGTAGAGAGAACCAGCTGAGATCAAACATTACAGCAGAAACAAGATCTGCTTTGATTGGACCATAGATTTACATCTGTCAGTTTAACTCTTGTTACTGGCTAAAAATATCAAGTGATTCCCCAGTTAAAAAAAATATCACAGGTTAATTTTCATTATGCCTTTTGCATAATGATACTGGAACCTTGGACAATCTGTTGGTGCTCAGAGTGTGTGTGGTGAAAGACTCTCAGTCTTTAAAACTGACTGAACTGAAGCCATGTTTGTGTTTGCAAAGTTTGAGCTGTTGTGGGCCTTTTAAATAAGATCAACTCTAAAGCTGCATTAAATATAGATGTACATATGGATGTTTTCTTGGAGTTTCATTAAAATTAATTAGGTTGTCTATGGAATAGTTTGCTAACAGACAGAGAGTGCTAAAACTTCAACAGTTAATGCCAAAGATTTAAGCAAAGATAATGTGTAAAGCTGTGGAGGTGAGAATCGCTCTGAGCTACTAATAGCCCATATTTTAGCTCAATATCTGAGAAATTGACTATAATTTTGTGTTGACTTCTGATCAGCATTAGCAGCCATCTTGAAACTGTAATTAGCACAAGAAGTAAGGAAATTAGTGTTTGATGATGTAACAATGCTTCTTGACAATAAATTGAAAAGCAGACACCTGATTTGAAGCACCTGGAAGCACAAGAAGCTCAAAACAAGTGTCAACAGCAACAACAAAAGAATCACTTTGAAAGAAAATTTGACAAATTTTTCATGTGTGCAACCCACATACTGTAATCAGCTCTACTGCTCAATGCATGTTCCTTACAAACGTGGCACCGTTCAAAAGACAAATTAACAAGTTTTCCAGTGGTATAAGATTTATTGTCAAGAAGCATTGTTACAACAAAGAAATAATCTACCCAACACTAATTTCCTTACTTTTTGTGCTAGTTTTAGTGTAGTATAGCTCACCTCCTCTTAGCAAGAGACGATAATGGTTTTGTTGTGAAAAAAAAACCTATAATATATATTGAGTAGGGCAATAATAAATCATAGAAACATAAACACTTTGAGATTCCAAAGAAAGTAAATTTGCAATTGAAATCTTAGTAGCCTTGCTTGACAGTTGTTTTTGAGGAGTTTTCAAGCTACAAAATATGATCCACTCGGTGGAGTCAATAAAAAAAACCTGATCATTTGTAGTACCCACAGTTTAGGAGGCATCATCACTACAGATGTCATAATCCAGTTTAAAAGTTATTCTTTTAGATTCAGGACTGAATGTGTTTTATACTTTGATAACACAAAGCCTGCTGAAAGTTAAAGATGCTGTCCCGAGCAGCGTGTTATTGTTTGTTTGGAATTAAAATGAATTAATAAGAAATTCTTGTCTGAAAATCTTTTCTAGTGTTACATTAGGCTAAAAGCTATGTTTTTAAAAGTTCAACAATCAAACATGCTTGATTGATTTACAAATTATCTGGATTATCTTGATGTTATTTTGGTCCAAAACCAAAGATAAAGCCAACTGCAGATGTCAAAATGATCAGTTATAATAAATCCACGTACAAAATGGTGAAATAACTGAAACACTCATTAGTAGCCATGAGATAGTTGATGGCTTTGATAACAAATTTCCCTTAAAAACAGGTTAAATGTTAAAAAAATCATTTATTTATTTATTTTGTTTTTTTTAAACACGCCGACTTCACGAAGGATTGAAYGTGCCTCCATGTGAACATTGTTGAGGAGAAGTAGACCCCAGCCGGGACCCGAGTGCAAACGGAGGTCAACTCAGTGTAAACAGAGACCGCTTCACGATTTACGATGTTTTCTGGCTGCTAAGATCAGGGCTCTGCACATTCTCACAATCATAACAGGTTTTTTTGCAGCATTTCAGTCAACTTTTTCGACATTGTTTTTAYAATTTCTTTTAGCCTGACGTTTTTTTTTGCCATGTGTCCTCATGTCGCTGTCGTTTTTTAGTCATTTAGCATCTGTGCGAAAGTTTAAATAAGAGTAAAAACTTAAAAGTGACTTTTTTTTCTCTGTTTTCGCTCAGTTTAAAAAGTAACATCAGCGGCTCTGCTGACTGAAATAGGGGAACCCCTGGTCACACGTGTGGACATCTGTGGCCTAACAGCGTTACACCGACCCCCACCCCTCCTACCCCCTGGCCCCTTTCCACTGCCTGTTGACAGTCGTTACCTGTGCCCCAGAGGGCCCTCGCTGCCCCATGATAAAAACAACCTCTATACAGGGGCCAGACGCATAAATATTTCTTTTTCTATTTTCCAAAATAGCTTTTAATTTTACAAGTTTTATGACCCTTATATTAAGTGCACATGTTTTACAAGACATCGTGTCCTCTCGCTCACCCCTCGAGTTCATCGGCAGAGTTTTCTTCTTTAGTCAAGAAAGAAAAAAAAATAAGACATTAACGGCAAAAAGAAACGAGGAGGGGATTTTACAGATTTTTTAAAAAAAGATCCATGGTCAGCTTAATCTCAACAGGAGCGTTAACTGTTAGAGCTGCTGTATTAAAGTATGCACACTGCTTTGTCATTATTACAATTGTTTGATGTCGACTGACTTGAAAAGATYAAAATCTCAGAAAATAACTGGGTCAAAGTTTACTGCCAATTGCACTACCGCATTAAAGTGAAAACTTTAAAGTGAACTGAAAATAAACAAGCGTGTTCTGTCTTCCAAGGATCCTCTACAGATGTAAACGTGTAAACAAAGTAACCTGAATAAATATTTACAGATTACATCTAGAACATAATCTGCTCCATTGGAACATGTATAATAAATAAATCATGAAAAAAAATCTCATGAACGTTTAGACAAACTTTCAAAAAAGCTTGACATATTCGCACGAGACTTGAAACTTCACAAACACTGAAGTGTAACAAAGATTGTAGTTTTCATTCTTTCTTCAGGTTGCAAACGTGAAGATTAAGAGCCTACCTTGTGTTATTATTATTATTTTTAAGGATTGCATATTATCCACTGCCTTTCATGCCAGGGTTTTAAACTAAGATGATCGTATGTTAAAGGGGCAATATYATGTGCTTCTCAGGCTTATATTTAAATACTATACCGTAATAAAGTATCTATGTCACCTTTGGTTGCTATTAAAATGCTGTTTATATGTTTAAATAGAAAATAAACTTGTCTTCTCATCACTTTTGTTTCTAAATACCTTGAAATTTGCCTCTGTCTCTTTAAGAACCTCCTTCCACTACTGTCCTGTTCATTTCAACACGTCATCACAGCCACTTCTCTCTACAGGGTTCTGCTGTTTATAACCTGGAACATCATAGCAGACTTTGTTGTAATGATAATAAAAACATAAGCAACATTATACAATATCTGTTTTGGAAAATTGCATCTCAGGATACATATGAGCCTTACTGTTTGACAGTTGATGGTACGTTTTCTAAAGAACCGGAGCGATTACAGAGACGTCTCAGCTGGTAGGATTATTTCAGTCATCCTCACAGACACACACTACTGATCATAGTACAAGTTACAAATCTTAACACATACATAGACCAAACAAGTATGTGAACAGTTGCTTTTCAGCTTACCTGCAGATGACAACAGTGATTGTTTACTTAGTTGCTGCCGATAGACTACAGAAGTCACGGGCAGGGTGTAGCGCTGAGATATGGAAGCTCAGCGTAGTTTACTTGGCATCTGAAAATATATTTCCTCAAAAGGTACTTTTAATCTGAAAAGGGCTGCACTGAGGAGTACTATTGGGAGCTCAGCAGATAGTTTCAGTTTCACCAGTTGTTTGCTTTGTTGCTGCTGAGAGCCTGCAGGAGTCATGGGCAGGTGCGAGGGGTGGGGGAGGTGTGTTCTGTGATGAGGAAGCTCGGCTTGGAGACACATACCAGAGGAGGAGCTGGTCCCAAAAGGTGGTTCTAGTCCCAACCAGTCATTTTTGCTCCCCTGCCTGGCTGCCTTAGGACACTACAGGATGTCTCAAACATGCATGAATGAGTCAAAGTAAGACTCTGGGCATGTTTTTGATGAGAGGATAACATTATAACATGATATAAAACTCAAAAAAGTTTATTTTCCATGATATAGCTACTTTAAGAAAGGACAAAGTTGTAACCATTTTGGTTGAATCTCTTTATCTGTAAAACATATAACAGACAGGCAGAGTTGACTCAATGGCAGTTTCAGAAATCTATCCAGTGATTGTCATTCTGTGTTTATCTGTGTCTGTTTCCTGTGCTCTCAAATCCAGCCTGTCAAGGCCTCTCTCCTGWGTCTGGTTTTGCTGAAGGTTTCTTCCTGTTAAAAGGCAGTTTTTCCTTTCCACTATCACCAATGATGTGAAACTGTGATGAAGTGAAGATTCAAGAACTGCTGGCTTCCTTCCTTAGATTGATTGGTTTTTATACAGTGCCCTGAGACAAAGTTTGTTGTAACTTGGCACTATATAAATAAACTAAACTGAGTTAATTTTGTTTTGAAAGTTTCATCAAGGTTCATTCAGTGGTTTGTAGAAATGAGACCCACATAGTGGACAGGTGTGAGCCAGACCTTGTGTCAGGCTGGCACTGCTGGCATGGTGAGTGGTTTGTCAACCGAATGTGAGCC